CATGAAATTCAAGCAGAAGCAACGAGAGGAGCAGGCTGAGCCTGATGGAACTGAGGGTTTGTAATCTGACCTTTTATTATGTCCTATAATAGATAACAGAGTCAGCTTTTTCCCATGTATTTTCCAATACATACTGAAATGTATTTCACTTTTTACACACTTGATGTCAAAAGAAATGTCTTCTGTATCTAATTCTGTACTGTTAATATTGACTGGTTTTGTTCTTACACATTCTATTCTTTCAATCAGACGCAGATAAAATCGCATACCTCATGGGACTGAACTCAGCTGATATGCTGAAAGCTCTGTGCTACCCAAGAGTCAAGGTCGGAAATGAGATGGTCACCAAAGGTCAGACCGTCCCACAGGTAACTAAGTAAAAAAAACATTGGTATGAAGGATATGCGTTCCTCTAAAAAGAAATACTTGGTCATGAAGAGGGGTGTAAAGCTAAAATCTGTTCTTACAGGTCAACAATGCTGTGATGGCTCTCTGTAAGTCGGTGTATGAGAAGATGTTCTTGTGGATGGTCATACGTATCAATGAGATGCTGGACACAAAGCAGCCAAGACAGTTCTTCATTGGAGTCTTGGATATTGCTGGATTTGAGATCTTTGATGTGAGCTGGAATTTTTTCTTATTCAGTTTTAGAAGAAAACATTGTTTTTAAACCCCTCTGTGCGATTACAGTTCAACAGCTTGGAGCAGCTCTGCATCAACTTCACCAATGAGAAACTGCAACAGTTCTTCAACCACCACATGTTTGTCCTGGAGCAAGAAGAGTACAAGAAGGAGGGCATTGAATGGGAGTTCATTGACTTTGGCATGGATTTGGCGGCCTGCATTGAGCTTATTGAGAAGGTAAGTCACTGCTAATGAGGAAAAGAGTGAGGATCTCTGTGTAAATGTTGTTGTTATTATGAGGATCTCTTTGTAACTGTTGTTGTTATTATGCATTAAACACAATTCATTTGAGTGGTGCAATTTGATTTGATCTCAGCCAATGGGAATCTTCTCCATCCTTGAAGAGGAGTGCATGTTCCCCAAGGCCTCTGACACAACTTTCAAGAACAAGCTCCATGATCAGCATCTTGGCAAGAGTAAGGGCTTTGAAAAGCCAAAGCCTGGAAAGGGCAAGGCTGAAGCTCACTTTGCCCTTGTTCACTATGCTGGTACTGTGGACTACAATATCACTGGCTGGCTGGACAAGAACAAGGACCCACTGAACGACTCAGTTGTTCAGCTTTACCAGAAGTCCTCAAACAAGCTACTGTCCTTCCTGTATGCAGCTCATGCTGGAGCTGAAGGTAATTAAGAGATAACAGACTAAGTAAAGACTAAACTAAAAAGCAGTAACAAATGTGACAAATATCTATATGTCTTTATTATTCACGAAGATGATAAGACACAGTTGACATTACTCAGTCACAAGAGGTGAATTAAATCATTTTATGAACAGAGGCCGCTGGTGGTGGCAAGAAAGGTGGTAAGAAGAAGGGTGGTTCCTTCCAGACAGTGTCTGCTCTGTTCAGGGTATGTATGTTTTCATATTTTCAGATTGATTAAATCATAGATTAGTGAGTCTTTAAAAATCATTACCATTCTCATCTACAGGAGAATTTGGGCAAGTTGATGACCAACTTGAGGAGTACCCATCCTCACTTTGTGCGCTGCCTGATTCCCAATGAATCAAAGACTCCAGGTTTGATACACAAAGTCATTAAGTTAAATGTTAAGCAGATATTAGGCAGCATATATACAAATGTTTAAACTTTTATTTTTTTCTGTTCTCAGGTCTGATGGAGAACTTCTTGGTCATCCACCAGCTCAGGTGTAACGGTGTGCTGGAGGGCATCAGAATCTGCAGAAAGGGTTTCCCCAGCAGAATCCTCTATGGTGACTTCAAGCAGAGGTGACAGCAACATGCATTATAGAAAAAGGAAAATTGTATCCGGTGGTTAGAAAAAGACAAAAGAATTAATATAATGACTTTTTCATTTAAGATACAAAGTGTTGAATGCCAGTGTCATCCCTGAGGGACAGTTCATTGACAACAAGAAAGCTTCAGAGAAGCTGCTGGGCTCCATTGATGTGGACCACACTCAGTACAAGTTTGGACACACAAAGGTACAGTTAGGAGGGACAAATAAAAAAGTCTCAGACATAGTATGTTTGGGAGCTCATATTTACTGATGAATGATTCCTTTTACTTGAAAAAAGGTGTTCTTCAAAGCTGGTCTGCTGGGTACCCTTGAGGAGATGAGAGATGAGAAACTGGCTGAGCTGGTGACCATGACTCAGGCTCTCTGCAGAGGATATGTCATGAGAAAGGAGTTTGTGAAGATGATGGAGAGAAGGTGGGAAAACTATTTCCAATTATTTTAAAGCAGTTGTCAGTGCAAAAAACTATTTAAATTTACTATTTTATTTCAGAGAATCTATCTTCACCATCCAATACAATATCCGGTCATTCATGAATGTGAAGAACTGGCCATGGCTGAAACTGTATTTCAAAATCAAGCCTCTTCTGAAGAGTGCTGAGACTGAGAAGGAGCTGCAGCAGATGAAAGAGAACTATGACAAAATGCAATCAGATCTAGCTACTGCTCTGGCCAAAAAGAAGGAGCTGGAAGAGAAGATGGTTTCCCTGCTGCAGGAGAAGAATGACCTGCAACTCCAAGTGGCAGCTGTATGTGACATGAGGCTAGATCTGTTTTATAAAACAATGTTTCAATTTATTATTTTGTTTTGATAACTTTAGAAAATGTGCTGGATCAATACATATGTACTGAATATAATTATTGTACAAATTATAGGAAGGTGAGAACCTCTCAGATGCTGAGGAAAGGTGTGAGGGGCTCATTAAGAGCAAGATCCAGCTTGAGGCCAAACTCAAAGAGACAACTGAGAGACTGGAGGATGAAGAGGAGATCAATGCTGAGCTGACTGCCAAGAAGAGGAAGCTGGAGGATGAATGCTCTGAGCTGAAGAAAGACATTGATGACTTGGAGCTCACCTTGGCAAAAGTGGAGAAGGAGAAACACGCCACCGAAAACAAGGTTCTTATCAGCTACAAATATGACAGAATTGTTTCCATATGTAGCTTTTATAGTGAATTCCAAATTTGTTATGCAACTCAAAGGTGAAAAACCTGACAGAGGAGATGGCATCTCAAGATGAGTCCATTGCCAAATTGACCAAGGAGAAGAAAGCCCTCCAAGAGAGCCATCAGCAAACACTGGACGATCTCCAGGCAGAGGAAGACAAAGTCAACACTCTGACCAAGGCCAAGACAAAGCTGGAACAGCAAGTCGATGACGTAAGAAACTTATATTGTCACGTTGATATTGTTGCTCCTTTTAATACTTGAATAAAATACAAATACCCTTACCTGGTAACTCGTAGCTTGAAGGCTCATTGGAGCAAGAGAAGAAGCTTCGTATGGACCTCGAGAGAGCCAAAAGGAAACTTGAAGGAGATCTGAAACTGGCCCAGGAATCCATTATGGATCTGGAAAATGACAAGCAGCAGTCCGATGAGAAAATAAAAAAGTAAATGCTTGCAATTTAGTCATAGAATATACTCCTGTAACCAAGTTGATAAAGAACTAGACTTATATTTTTTTTATACATTCAGGAAAGACTTTGAAATCAGCCAACTTCTCAGCAAGATTGAGGATGAACAGTCTCTTGGTGCTCAGCTTCAGAAGAAGATCAAGGAACTGCAGGTAAAACTAAATCAAAAGTATCTCTCAGGCTATTGCTTAATTTCCAAAAGGCGTCTCAGAACAAGCTTAATACCATATTCACTCTCCATATCATGTCATACTTAAATCTAGGCCCGTATTGAAGAGCTGGAAGAGGAGATTGAGGCTGAGAGGGCCGCTCGGGCTAAGGTTGAGAAGCAGAGGGCTGACCTCTCCAGGGAACTTGAGGAGATCAGTGAAAGACTTGAGGAAGCTGGAGGAGCAACAGCCGCTCAGATTGAGATGAACAAGAAGCGTGAGGCTGAGTTCCAGAAGCTGCGTCGGGACCTTGAAGAATCCACCCTGCAGCATGAAGCTACTTCAGCAGCTCTTCGCAAGAAGCAGGCTGACAGTGTTGCAGAGCTGGGAGAGCAGATCGACAACCTCCAGAGAGTCAAACAGAAGCTGGAGAAGGAGAAGAGCGAGTACAAGATGGAGATTGATGACCTCTCCAGCAATATGGAGGCTGTTGCCAAGTCAAAGGTGAGGACTTGGTTTGGTGATCAATATAAACTATATCTAATGAATAATCAGTTGGTTTGAAACATGTGAAAAGGAAACTATGCATTGTTGTACATTTTGTATTGTGATTTTAGGGCAACTTGGAGAAAATGTGCAGAACTCTTGAGGACCAGCTGAGTGAGCTCAAATCCAAAAATGATGAGAACGTGCGTCAGTTGAATGATATTAATGCACAGAGGGCAAGACTTCAGACAGAGAACGGTGAGTCACTCCTCATGAAAAACTGTCTGCATGTGGTTTATCATTTTGTGACACTTTAACTAATTCATCTTCCCGCAGGTGAGTTTTCGCGCCAGCTAGAGGAGAAAGAAGCTCTTGTTTCTCAGCTGACTAGAGGAAAACAGGCCTTTACTCAGCAAATTGAGGAGCTCAAGAGACACATTGAAGAAGAAGTGAAGGTAAAAAAAACTAATGCACAGCCTCATAATCCAATACAAAAAAGATTTTTCAATCCAATTTTGCTGATTTGGAAGTCAAGTCGGCAAAATTTCTCTCTGACTCTGACTGTGTTTGCCAGGCCAAGAACGCACTGGCCCATGGTGTTCAGTCAGCCCGCCATGACTGTGATCTGCTCAGAGAGCAGTTTGAGGAGGAGCAGGAGGCAAAGGCTGAGCTGCAGAGAGGAATGTCCAAGGCCAACAGTGAGGTTGCTCAGTGGAGAAGCAAATATGAGACTGATGCTATTCAGCGCACTGAGGAGCTGGAGGAGGCAAAGTTAGTCTCCAAAGTGCTATTGTTTTAAACGACTTTGTTATCAATAGTCCACTTTTACAGGTTAAAATTCTGTTCAATGCAGGAAAAAACTTGCCCAGCGCCTTCAGGATGCTGAGGAATCCATTGAGGCGGTCAACTCCAAGTGTGCTTCTTTGGAGAAGACCAAGCAGAGGCTGCAGGGGGAGGTGGAGGACCTCATGATTGATGTGGAGAGAGCTAATGCTCTGGCTGCCAACCTGGACAAGAAGCAGAGGAACTTTGATAAGGTCAATTTCCGATCTGGACACTAAAATGATCAGAGACAAACATCTATTAGTTGCTATTGTGACTGAACCTTTGCAAATGTAGGTCCTGGCCGAGTGGAAACAGAAGTATGAGGAGGGCCAGGCAGAGCTGGAAGGAGCCCAAAAGGAGGCCCGTTCTCTCAGCACTGAGCTGTTCAAGATGAAGAACTCCTATGAAGAGGCTCTGGATCAGCTGGAGACCATGAAGAGAGAAAACAAGAACCTGCAGCGTATGTCAGCTTCTTAACTACATCAACAAATGTACCAAGCCAACATTTCATTTGATAATTACAACCACACACTAATTTTAAGTCAGACAAAAACTGTGAATTCGCACTGAACTGTACAACGGCAATTCATCTTAGAATAGAATGCTTCCATGTCTACAGCAGAATCATATACAGGTAATTGATTTATGAATTAATTTGTTCTTCAGAGGAGATCTCAGATCTGACTGAACAGATTGGTGAGAGTGGAAAGAGCATTCATGAACTGGAAAAAGCCAAGAAGACTGTGGAGACTGAAAAATCAGAGATCCAGACAGCCTTGGAAGAGGCTGAGGTAGGATCTTCATAACCACTTTATAAACCAGTAATCATGTAAGCAATAGAATCATAATAGTTATTTTTCCCATTCGTGCTAATCTTTTGTGTCTTAATTTTTTAAGGGAACTCTGGAGCACGAGGAGGCCAAGATTCTCCGTGTTCAGCTTGAGCTCAACCAGGTCAAAGGTGAAGTTGACCGGAAGCTGGCAGAGAAAGATGAAGAAATGGAGCAGATCAAGAGAAACAGCCAGAGGGTGATTGACTCCATGCAGAGCACTCTTGATGCTGAGGTCAGGAGCAGGAATGATGCTCTGAGAATCAAGAAGAAGATGGAGGGAGACCTGAATGAGATGGAGATTCAGCTGAGTCATGCCAACAGGCAGGCTGCTGAGGCCCAGAAACAACTGAGGAATGTCCAGGGACAGCTCAAGGTGAGTTTTGTACGGCTGTGGATATCAAACCACAGAGTTTGAAAGGAAGGATCATCAAGACCAAGTCATGTTTTTTATTCTCAGGATGCCCAACTGCACCTTGATGATGCTCTCAGAGGACAGGAAGACATGAAGGAGCAGGTTGCCATGGTGGAGCGCAGAAATGGTCTGATGTTGGCTGAGATTGAGGAGCTGAGAGCAGCTCTGGAACAAACGGAGAGAGGACGCAAAGTGGCTGAACAGGAGTTGGTTGATGCTAGTGAGCGTGTTGGACTGCTTCACTCACAGGTTAGTTTATAATTCAATAAAAAAACTGATTGCCACCACGGATACGAAGACTGTATAAAAATATCTTCTTTGGTCAATTCTTAGAACACCAGCCTCATGAACACCAAGAAAAAGATGGAGGCTGACCTTGTCCAGGTTCAGGGTGAGGTGGATGATGCTGTTCAGGAAGCTAGAAATGCCGAAGAGAAAGCCAAAAAGGCTATCACTGATGTAAGTCTAAAGCCCAGTGACACTAATGTACCAATCTTCTGATGTAATGATTTATTTTTTATCTTTTATCTTGTGAATTCTAAAATTGGAAGGAACCTTTTATCATTTCAGGCTGCCATGATGTCTGAGGAGCTGAAGAAGGAGCAGGACACCAGCGCTCACCTGGAGAGGATGAAGAAGAACCTGGAGGTCACAGTCAAGGACCTCCAGCATCGTCTGGATGAGGCTGAGAACCTCGCCATGAAGGGTGGCAAGAAGCAGCTCCAGAAACTGGAGTCCAGGGTAGGAACATTAGAAACTGGGAGCGCTCACAGCAAATTAATCTGAGGATATTTCCAAGCTCTAAAATAGGTAACTATTTATCATCTTTGAACAGGTGCGTGAGTTGGAGGCTGAAGTTGAATCTGAGCAGAGACGTGGAGCTGATGCTGTTAAAGGAGTCCGCAAATATGAGAGGAGAGTGAAGGAGCTGACCTACCAGGTCTGTAAATTTGATCCTACTAAGAACTAACTTTGTCAAACTACTGGTTACACTTTAGCAATTTATGATTGATATTGTTTTATCCGTTCAGACTGAGGAGGACAAGAAGAATGGGATCAGACTTCAGGATCTGGTGGATAAACTGCAGCTCAAAGTCAAAGCTTACAAGAGACAGGCTGAGGAGGCTGTAAGTGAAACA